GTACCTCCCGCGGCCAGACAGCGAGACCGCGTGGCAGTGCACCGGTAGCATGCAGTCACAAATGACTTCGGAAAACAGTAGAAATAATCGGGAAAAGACCATGTATCATAGGTATGGAAAGGAAACACAGCTGAAATCTTTGAATCCGGCAGTTGCTTGCACCCCCCTGTACCCGTGCAGTGTGCTTTACTACGAGATTGAATGTTGCCAACCAAGCTCTCGTTTCCCGCTAAATCTAGCGTCGCCGCAAACTTTTTTTTAGTTTTTGAGTTACTTTTGGCGCAGTGTGGCGCATTTTCGACCGATTTCGCGTTTCTGGCGCAACTAGGCGCAGAAAATTGGGTTTGTACCAAAATGGCGCAATTAGCACAGATGTCACACCCCTGGACAAATCAAGAGTGTCAAAAGAGCGACATCACGGCATTTCTCATCTTTCTGTACTTGCTATTTCATCGGCTAAACTAATCAAGAACAGCGAGTGCCCCGTGACTTGAGCTTTTAGTACCGTATTTTCCAGACTACAGACCAACACGCTGTTTACAAACAAGCCCGCGTTTGCCCACACCAGGTCTGGGCACTGCGCGTGCGCAGAAACTTAATTCGCGTAAAGTGAAATGTCTGCGCATGCGCCCACAGCACATCTTGACATATGCCTGCTGAATTAGCGCACAAAAAACTTGTATCAGATAAATCACCATTAATATACTCTGTTAATCATAAAATTCTTCAAGTCTTTTCAATCTCCCGTAAAATTTAAACTTTCAAAGTTGCATTGTTTGTAGACTATGCACCGGAAAATATATATGTGTATGTGTTCAAGCCTTTGTCTATGCTCAGACCTAAGATGAGAAACTATAAAGGGAGTATAGACGCTCTGAAACACACATGTATACCAAGCCCCTTCCCTCCTACTTCTTTAAATATTAAAGTCGACCAATATTAAAATATTTTTATTAGTGCGGCGCAATTCTTGGCAGAAATGGCAGTTTGGCGCAAGATGTAGCAGACTTCCGTTTATGGCCCCCAATTTGGCGCAGCCCTTCTATCACTGCAGTTGGCAATCTGACACTGCCTCAATGCACTCACGCTAGTGTCGGCAACATGCAGTATCAGTGTCAAAATAATCAATCTTGGATAAATTAGGCAGATAAAATGTACAAACCACTTAAACGTGCTATAAAATGCATGCCACAAAACAAGTAAAGTTTGGCAGATTATTCATGTTGCCTGTCTAGCTGCTTAAAAATTTCAAGTCTTTGGACAGAACATTAATGATGAGTCATCAGAAGCACTTTCTCCGAGTGATTCTTGCACCCGAGAGCAGTTCACCCTGGCGCAGTCAATTCACTCCCTACCAGGGGCTATCGGCAGAGCCCTGCGCAGATAAGCTGAATCATCCACGGAGAGCGTCTGCATCCAAACCGTACCCACAAGGTTCTTGAATTACCATCTCTGCACCAAATCCGCATGCTTCGCATCCACGAAATTCGGAACCACATCCGATCCACATTTGCACACTCATTTTACACCATGAAATAAAAAAAAATCAAGGGAGAACGGAGGCTTCTACCTTTTTGAGACTCGTATGTCTTGGGTTTTCTTTGCATAAAAAATGCCTTCCCGATTGACAGCTTTTTTTTCTAAGAGTAATTTACTCCCATAAAACATTGGACAATACACTTAATACTATCACTCACTTGTTCACTCTACACCCTGCGGTCGCGCACGATTATGGGCCACCTCGGCAAGACTGGATCCGGATCAGTGGATATCCGCATCCGATCCACAAATTGATTTAATTTTATTCGCATCCACCAGCTGACTGCGGCGAAGCTCAAACTATCATGTGGATTACTTGTAATAAGTGATGTCAAGAAACGTGTGGCACATTAACCAACGTGCATTGTTAGACGATCTTCCTTGAAAATGAAATGGCATACAAAGATGTGCGAGAGCCAGCTTAAAGAAAATATGGATCAGGAGGTTATGGACCTGGGAACTTGACGGACAAGAGTGAAGATATGTCGTTGGGTTATCAGGTAAGACATCTTTAGCTGCTTCTCCTCCTTAGTCGAGCTACTTAAAGCTAGTAAAAACTGAAAGTCGGTTCAATGCATTAAGAGGCTTTAATTGTACTTTTCAAGGATTTATTTTACCCTACACCCAACTTGCCTGTCTCGCTAGCACACCAACATGCCAGAATAAAAAAAACAGTATATGTGGATATCCTTTTCTTGAGGAGCAGATGCATCTTCATGTCAAATGACATTGCATAGTTTCAATAGGTAGTTAGCATTCATGCAATTCACAACTGGAAGCAGCTTGTGCAGTCCCATGGCTGCTGTAGGACTGCTTGCGCTGCACTATTTGGATGCAGGACACACAATCACGTCAAAAACTGACATGGGACACAACAGCTTCCAATTCATTACATAAATGAATCATTACTACTTGTTTATTCCTAGATCAGCTGGGCCCATAATGAGAGAACAGTGTCACTGATACTCTCTCGACAATAAAAAGTATGGTTCAAGCCCTGCAAAAAGGATTGGGGGGACTCGTTTCAAGGCACAATAGATCCTGGAGTGGCAAGTCGGTAACCTGTCCAGTGACAATGATGGGGAAAGTGGAAGGGAGCCTTTCTGGCCTGTCTTTGATGTGCAACAAATAAAATACCTGCTTCCACTTGGGCCAAGAGAGCAACATGAAAATTTTGGTACTTGCGCAGCAGTCATGTAGCACACAAGCATCCAGAGAATGACCAGGACCTGGGGGAAGAGGTCAGATTCCTCCCAAGTGACCAAGGTAATTCCCTGGACCCTTGTTCAGCAAACAAACCTAATCAGTTGTACTCAATATGTAGTCAAATATTAAAGAAAATACAAGGAAAAACAAAATAGATGATCACTTGACAACCTGCAGATTGCTTACTCAATTCTCCGGGAAAAGCTTCCCGCACACCTCTCTGGCCATCCAGGAGATGGCCAGAGAGGTCTATCTCAGGCAAGTTTTTTGACTCTCCAACCAAACAGGAATCACTGGTGAGATTCAGCTAAATATCTAGAACCTGTCCCACTTTCTGTGAATCACTTCTTGAAAGGATGACCGAAACACACAGTAGCTTGAACAAATGTTAGACTGCATTTAGGACAATGCACCGCATCTTGTCAGGCTTTCATTTGAGGATGCACGCCTGACATGGCCGAAAATCATATCCGTCCGAGGCGAAGAGAACAGCAATAAACAGTGCTTCTCTAAGCTAACCGAGTCATGTCTGCTAGCTCAAGTCTCCTGTTCACTGAAGCCATACGAGCTTCAATGAAAAGGCTCAAAGGTGACGTTGACCTTCGTAATATTTACCTGTTGTCAAGAGGGGGGGGGGGATTGCTGGCCTAGCGTGTAAACGCGCCACAGCTTGACGCAAAAGCTCGCAATACAGAACCCCCACCCCTGTCCGTTTCAACCAGGATGAGCGTCGTACTGGCGGGCAGTCGTGTGTATCGCTACTGCATGGTGCACAATAAAGACCCCAGACCAGCGGCTGACTCGCACTCCAATTCCCTCGATCCCCAGCTTTGCAGGTGATTGAACAGACCTGCTTCTCGGCCAACTACGAGTTATTTTATCTGCTCCTTCAAGAGGCCAGCGGTCAAAGACGGCTTATCCTGCAACACACACTTTCACACTCTTGAAGTTTATTGGCCCTAATGTGGTGGAAGAGGTGAGGCTGGAGCACCTTTCTTTTGGATGGCTCTCAGTTTCAATAGAAGCTATCAAAGCTAGAAGCCTGCATACGCTACTTCTTAATTTACCGTGCACAAGGTGTCCATGCCATGCAAGCACACAGAGAGCATTTTTTTTCCTTTTTCTAAAGACTATGCTCAACAGAAAACAAGCAAGCTAAGCTTTTCATTACCCACGGCAACAAAAGGGTTAAAACATGCTGCAGAAGAGCCTCTTTGGCGGGGGCACACTTTCAAATGGTGCGCTCACTCCCATAGCATTGGATGCATTCCAAACTACTCCCAAAATAGTCAATCACTAAGCTACCCAATTTCATCGAGAGAACCATTTCACTATAATGTGCTAGCCAAATGACCAAAACACTGCACTCTCCAAACAGTAGTACAGCCAAGAGATTTCTGCCGGGAGGCACTTATTCTCTTCTGGTTGGGTTAGATGGAAGGAGAGGGAGTAAAACAGACAATTTCGCTCTCTATTACACCTACTTTAAAAAAACAAGTGCTTACGAGACTACACAATTGACTAACAACGGATCACAAGACAGTCCCTTTGCTGTATGAACCAGAACTCGAGCTGAAACGCATACGACATCACATTTATGCTTCGACAGTGTGTGCAAGGAAAGATAGCGAAAAACGTTTAGGGTGATTTTATAGCACTGAGCACCCTACCAGACAGCTCAGAGTATAAAGTGCAGCATATTTCTAGGTGTAGCGCTACAATGCTGCACGTTCGTCTGAGGCAAGGTAGTCAGGAAAGAGAAAGAAGTCGCAGACTGACAACAACCTTAACTACAGATAGAACCCATACATAAAGGCCTATCATTGTTACTCGCCCATCCTCGCGCACATTGGCCCAACAAGCGTGTCAGACACTCGCATTGTTGGACCAATGCAAACAAAGCAGTGCAAACAGTTGCTGCCCGAGATTACTGCGAATCGCGCTTTGGTGATTCCAGTAAAGCGAACCTGCAACTTGCGGAGGTCTGAACACATAAGAGCGAACGTGAATATACGCAGCAAAGGCCTCTCCCCTGCAGCCGATCAACTGGACCGACCAACGTAGCACAACCCAATTCAGCGAGCCCCATCTGGTGGGGGGTAACGCGCCGCGAGGACACTTGGTCAGTGAGGTCGGAGTCCTCGGGGGCCCGCGGCGCGAGCTCTCCGGAGGATCAAAGGAAGCCGCGCGGCGTCCTTTTGCTCGGAGAGCGCGCGCCGAACGCGGACGCAACAGGTCAGCGGGCCGCCACTCACGCTGGTTCCAGATCACAACTCCCCGGACGGCTTGTGCAAATCAGGACCGGCACAGGCAGAAGCCCGCATGCTGCATTTCTCGCAGGATCTGCAATGACAGGGAAGCGATCGAGCCACGTGCCGCGCTGCTGCCCACCAACCAAAACAAAGGCGCCATCGGCGGGGCCGCCCCGCGCGCTGACGTCACGGCTCCCCGCTGCACACGACGGGGAAAAGCCCGCCGAAACTCCATGTTTTTCTTGCGACAGGTCAAGCGCCGCGGGCGCCCCCAGTTACGGCACGTTGCGCGCACACAGCGAGCGCGCCCACGAAGCAAGCAACCAAATTCCGGGGGCCAAGACGGCGCCCCCGAGTCGCGCGCGGTGCGCGCGGGCGGGCGGCCGGCCGCTTCCCCCCCCCCCCCCCCCCCCCTACCCACCCCCACTCCGCCGTCCACGGCCCGCGGCGGCCCGGCCCGCAGCGACCCGACGCCGGGCTCCGAATGGCCGCTTGGCGGGCCGACGCGCTCGAATGTCGCGACGGGTGCCCGACTAAGGCCAAAAGTAAGCCTAATCAATGTGGCCGGGGCTGGCCGCCGCCATGCCCCACGAAATCGGACAAAGGACCCGAGAGAGGAAGGCCCCTTGGCGCCATGCACTTCCGGGACGGCAAACGCACGCCGAAATGTAGGTCAGCCATCGGGGTTCGAACCCAAAGCCGCGGCGAGGCTCCCACGCGCGTGGACCCAACACAAGAGTCACGCGGCACGAGAGCAGCGTCGAGCACGCTCGCAGCGCGAGCGAGCAATCGCGGCGACGGCGACGCCGCGTGCTTTGTTCCTGCCACCGTGGCCTGTGCACACACGCGATCCCGCGCCACCCGCACGCTGCAACCCGACAATCGCACATCGCATGCTCGGCCTTGACGAAAGTCCGGATATTACCTGGAGAGCAAGTTCATCTCGGGGAGCGGTCAACAAGTAATGTCGGACTAAGCCTTTCAGCCCAATTACCACCGCAACAAACGCACACATGGAAGCATCGCATGCCCAAGAAAGGTAACCGACGTCACAGCACTTTCGGAAATCAATCGCTCTGCACCGAGACTGCACAGAAACCGCGACAATTCATTGACAAGTCTCACCTTTTGAGTCGAGCTGCTCACTTTAGCAAACAAAGGCTGACGACTATGGCCGGTAATGCGTTGCTTCAGCGAGCCAAACCAATAGCCTACACCAGAGTTCGGCTTTGTTGGGGCACTCGCGTCGGACTCTCAGAACAATACAGTAGCCGAAATTCTTACCACCCGTCACTGGACGGACAGCCTAGAGCCAAAATAAAGGAATATACGAGCGTATGACGTAGCGAAACCAGCGAAACAACGCCAAAAACCTTCAGCGGGAGAGGCGGATAAGCGATCTCGTGTAATCTCGTTCAGGGGGTTTGTTTGCGAGACTTGACGTTCTTGTGCTGCTAGATAGCGTTAAATAATCGGCTACTGCGTTTAAATCATTTTTTTGTTTTATCTCCCGGTGAGAGATGTCTTTTTTGGGAGGGAGTCGAACACTTTTAGAGAGAGTAATGTTTTTTGCGAAAAAATAGCTCGTGTTTTTTGGAGGTTTTTTTTTTTTTTTTTTTAGCGCCAGAGGCCGGAAATAGCGGATAAAAGGGTTTAATCCAGCATGAAAATGTCGGTCGTGCGTTCGTAGAGCGGCGCAGTGTTTCTCTGGCATTGCTGCGCTTGTTTGGCGGCGCGGCCAGTGCGGTGCTCGAGCGAAGAATCGTCGCCGTGAACGCAGGACGATTTGGACAGCGGAGCCCGGCGCCACAGCAGCTGACATGTCGGACATCAAGGCCCTGGAGCACCCGACGCTCAAGGTAGGCTTTCTGACTGGCGTTTCGGGGGAGTTGGAACCGCTTTGTCGTTGCAGGTGCCATACGAAATCCTGAACAAGAAGTTCCGTGCGGCGCAGAAGAGCATGGACCGGGAAGTGTCTCACGTGCAGAGTGCGGCGGCGGAGCTGGAGAAGACGTTGCGCGAGCAGGCGCACGCGGGCCCGCTGCGGACTCAGCTGGGAGGCCTGCTGGACAAACTCGAGGTGTTGAGGCGCAAGAGCGCCGAGAGCATCAGCGAGGAGCTGGAGGCGGCGTCGGCCTGCAAGCGTCGCGTCGAACACCTCAAGGGCTTCGAGACTGGCGGCGAGCAGTGGAAGCGGCAACGGCTCGACCGAATGCTGGTGGAACACCTTCTGCGGACGGGCTACTATGGCACGGCGGCCAAGCTGGCCGAGCGCAGCGGCCTCCGTGACCTCACCAACATGGATCTGTTCCTGGTGTCCAAGGAGGTGGAGGACTCGCTGGCCAGCCGCGACACGAGCAAGTGCCTCGCCTGGTGCCACGACAACAAGTCCAAGCTGCGCAAGTTGCGCAGCACGCTGGAGTTTCAGCTGCGCCAGCAAGAGTTCGTCGAGCTGGTGCGCCGCGACCGGCGGCTCGAGGCCGTGCGACATGCGCGGCGACACTTCGGCGCCCTTGAAGAAGACGCCCAGCTGGCCGAGGTGCAGCGTGTCATGGGCCTCCTGGCTCTGCCCGGCGCCCGGGCCCCCGAGCTGCTGGCCGACGGCCGCTGGGAGCTGCTCGCCCAGCAGTTCCGCCAGGAGCAACTGCGCCTGTACCAGCTGAGCAGCTGCTCGGTGCTGGCCGTGGCCCTGCAGGCCGGCCTTTCGGCCCTCAAGACGCCGCAGTGCTACGACGAGGCGCAGCGCAACCCGGACTGCCCGGTGTGCAGCCGGGCCCTCAACTGCCTGGCCCGGGGTCTGCCCTACGCCCACTGTTCGCAGTCGCGCCTCGTGTGCCGCATCTCGGGCCAGCCCCTCAACGAGCACAACCAGCCCCTGGTCCTGCCCAACGGCTACGTCTACGGGGAGCAGGCACTGCGCAGCGTGGCCCGTCGGGGCCGCGTAGTCTGCCCGCGCAGCCGCGACTCCTTTGACCTATGCGACGCCGAGAAGGTCTACGTCATGTAGCCTGCTGGAGCAAGCCTCGTCTGCGAAACCCGCCCTGCGCAGTGTTCGTGGAAGACAGTCTTGTTTTGCTCCCATCGATTACCACAGGCTTCCCAAAAAAAGCATGTTGAGGTGATAGGAAAAAAAAAAAAAAATAAAACTTCAACTGGTCAGCTTTCTGACACTGCAGCCATTGCTGTTATTACAATGCTTCTCCACTCAAAACCATTTGAAAGTACACTGCGTCGGTGCTCGAGAGCCCAGTGGATGCTCTGCCTCAACCACAAGCTTTCTTCCTTCGCTTGGTCACACGGGCAGCCAAATCCTTGCGGAAGTATGTGCTGGAGGCAGAGCATCTATTTTAACCAACTTTACTGGTACAGAGCTTCCTGTAATCAGGATACCAAGTGAAACTGCCCATGCATCAATGCACTGTTTACAGACAAGTCCACGTCCTCACACACCAGGTGTGGGCACTGCGTACACAGAAACCGTCGCGCGAGGCGAGGCTGGTTTCTGCGGCGTGGCGGAGCCATGTGTTGCTCTATATGTAGCTTGCAAGGGTCACCGTTACTGGGTATTGACGGTTATTTCTACTTACTGGTTTCTTTGAACTACAACTTCTGCGGTGTGAAACTAACACAACGAACCAAACACTCTCGGCACACATACTGGCGTGGCCGTGAATGACTTCACACACAAGCTATGTATAGGGAGTGCTATATCATGTTGCACGAACATTGCCATCCAGCAAAGGGTAGGACTCTCGTAAACAAAAATATAAAGGTGCACACCAAGTTATTTTGGCTGCCAGCAGTTCGAACTGCATGCCGAGACTTAAAACAAAATCGAGAGTTTACATCTCGTGCGTAGCTCCAATGCCCTACAGCAACTTCTATGAAGTGCACAGCAGAAAGAAGCGATCCACATTTTCATTTTTTTTCTTTCAAAGCTGAAAGGCTCATCAAAACTAGTAGCTCAAATTTACCCAGTTGTAATTGCGTACCGAAATTTAATAGATACTGAAGTCTCAGACATGGAAGGCCTCCAAGCAGCAAACTGAAAGCAGAGGTCTTAGAGGCAAATGCAATTTCCAGGACCATTCATTTCATTGGGCTCCATAAATTTTTTAGTGAAGTGTGCACATTGTAACTTTAAACAAAAGGTGGAGGGAAGTCTTAAAAATTTCCACTTGCACAATTACCTGGCCGAGGAGTTTATTTTTGTATGGACAGGAATGCTTTGGTAAAAAAACAAAAATGGATTGGACAAAACGGTAGTGGGAGAGCAGCTAAAGTGCTCCCCTTTTTGTTTTTTTTTAGTGCTTAGAATTTGGATTTTAGTTTTACAATGGGCTTAGCAGGGTATCCAGGCGGAGCAAAACTACTTGAACCTTCTATTTCTCCTTGCGATGAACCCCAAAGGATGCTTAGAGCGGTCCGAGCCAGTCCAATGTCCCAAGAGTGTCGCACGACCTTTGGGAGGCGTGGCACTGCAATACTGTGTGATTTGCTTAGTCTCGCGATGCATTCACAGCACCGGATTGACCGGAATGACTCCCGACGTCCACTGAAGTCCATCTTCGGGTGAAACGGCGTATAGTTATTACCCCAGAGGCTGCTAAAACATTTGTCCATCAACAAGTTATGCCTTTGTTGGCACTTGCAACCTGTGGAGTCAACAAAACGTGTATACAGTCCTGTAGATCGACGGTGCAATAAAATAAACATCGCCATACACACAGCATTCTTGGAGCTAAAGTACCGGGCATTTGCGAGAAAAGAGAAGTGTTTTTCTCGCCGCAAAAATAAAACCAAGCATTGCAAAGTGCTCAATCTCAGGTTCAAATGTGGCGCTAGCAGTTGGGACGGAGTGACAAAATTTCAGAACTCACCGTTGTCCAATTCAAAAGTTACCGAGCAATTTTCAGAAATTTCCAACGAAGAAATGGGGCAATAGCAGATGCCTTTTACCTCTATGTATTCGTTGGCCCACAGTTTCTCATTAAAAGATTGCCAAAAATTGTTTGTTTGGATAACTTTTAAGTTCTGATACTTCGCATCTGGTCCCAACTGCCAGTGCTGCATTTGGGCCAAGACCAAGTGTTCGGCAAAACAGTTATTTTTGTGGTGAACGAAATGTGGTTCTCTTTTCTTCCAAGTACACTGGCGTAGGTAGTTACAAAATTTTAAGTTTGTAAGAATACTAGAAATTAAATATTTCAGACACTAGCCAAAGAAAAATTATTTCACATGACCCTGTTAGTTCATGGCTACTTGGTGGGCATTTCAATATTGGTCCAGGCATGGCTCAAAGCAACATTTTGATGCATAGCCCTGTTAACCAGGAGGTCACAGACGGGCTATGAAAAGAAGTGGAACCATTAGAGAAGGCATTCACTAGCTGCATAAGACCACAGACAAGATACTGGCACAACTGTCTGCAGTTGTATTGGGTTTGTTTTTTTGAGAAACTACTATCCACATACCCTTACTAGATTTGTAAGTACACACATTTTGAAAAGGAAATTTGTTTGCCCGAAATGCTTTCCTATTTCAGTATGCAGTGACTTTAACAAATATGTTCTTACCTGTCGAAAGAAGTGGTGTCAGGAAACTTGTTCTATTGGTTAGAGACTGCCTCATACCTTGCCTTTCTCATTTTCATTGTAGTGGGTCACGATGTACAGACATACCTACCTTTCATCGAACCAGACATTGTGTTGCAGCAACCTAGTTTTTATTCCAAATAAAGAAAGTTGTCAACCAGACCGGAAGCTACATGACAGTGGGTTGTATCAAACGAGTGCGGCTTACACCAAGTGGTCGATGCCACGTGCAGGTGCAACACTCCAAAGCAGAAAGTCTCCCCGACTGTCCTCTTCCTGTAGCACTTAGAAAGCAAGTGCAACACAGGCTGCAAACAAACCGAGAGAGGCAGCTCCAAGGCAGACAGAGGTCCACGCTAGGCTTGCAGTAGGCGCACCACGGCAGGGTGTGGGAAGGCTCGCCAGCGGGACGCCACCCGCCCGACGGTGGCTGCACGAACGGCAGTCAGCTCCTGTTTCGAGTCTTGGAGGAGGAGGCACGCTTGCAGCAGGGGCCCCCAGGGCACCTCCGGCTTCCGGATGAGGTCCACTACGCGAGCCTCGACGCAGAGGCTCACGGCTTGTGTGATGGCACGGCCCGCTTTGGTGCACACTTGACGCTGCTGCTCCTTGCGGCGGCCACCCAGCGGCCGCAGAGAGCCCACCAGCCGTGCCAGGCGCTCCTGCCCCAGCGTGCTGCGCTCCCTCTGCACCTGCCGCAGTGCCGCCTTCACGTCCTGCAGCTGGGGCCAACTGGCACTCGCTGCAACCAATGTCCGTCGCGTTAGCTCCGCTTCTTGATGCCCATGATGGATGCACCAGACAGCATGTCCACAAAGGTTGGTGAATGACAATTGTTCTCACATGTGTTAGACTCGCAAAAGAAAACCCTCCTCAATTTGCTCGTTTTCTTTTTCACAACGGTTACACTTGCATAAGCCAACCCTGTTTGTGTTTCTTCGACATTACTAGCCACATCCAGGTTCTCTGCCACTCGCTCCACATTTTTGAAGCCAACTAAAAAAATAGAAAAACACGGGGAAATGCTGTAAAGGTCAACGAGGCACCCCCTTTCTCTTTTTTAGATACAAAGGACATTTACTCTTTCCATAACTACCCGAGAGCCCCAAAAATTTAATTCACGAGCTTTCCCATGTGTTTTTATATTCCCCCTTTGACTGTAACAGAATGCTGATTCAAGAACAGACGTGCCTGCACTTCTCTCAAAATTACTGGAGTATGAAGAGAACTGACCAGTGGCAAAGCTAGGCCATCTGGCACCCGGGGCCCTTATGTCTTTCGTAGCACCCCCCCTTTCCCTCCATTCACTCCTTGAGATCGCAACCAACCAATAAAGTGTAAAGGAGGGAGGGGGGGGGGGGGGTGCTGGGTGGTGCCAGAGGTGCCCCCCCCCCCCCCCTTTCTCCAATGAGGGAAGGGGGGGGGGGGGGGCACCACCCTCTGAGGAGCGCTGAAACAAAAGTTGTTTCAGCGCTCCTCAGCGTTTCCAGATGGTTGCAGAACAAACTGCCAACTGCCAAACGGTTGGAGGGAATAACCCAAATGTCACCAAAGCCGCTAGAAATCTTGAGAAAAAAAAATCATAACTGACATACAAAATTTTAGATATATAGGGGGCCCAAAATTTACCTCAAACTAGCAAGATTCCCCTTATTCCCACATAGACCTGAATATTAGCTCAATCTGAGAAATTTCCCTCGGGTTGGCAGTCCTGAACAGTAGAGTCAACATTGCTTATCACAGTATGTATCACTGTTACACGATTACAGCAAACTGAAATAATGACTGCATGCACTGAAGCAATAAACCTTCCCCTTTGGGTATAAACCAAGACAGCTGCCAACTAGGAAACAAGTCTTCAATGTAGAAATGCAAGGGAAGTAGAAAACGGAAGCTATGTAGCAGTGTTGCGGAAAGGGCACGCCCATTCCAATCCAATTCCATTCCAGGGAATTAGAGTTTCCGACAATTCCATTCCTTTCAACTCCTCGAAATGGAGACACTGGGCCAATTCCAACTCCTGGAATGGCTGAACTCCACCATTCCATTCCTCTAATTCCTAAAGGTAAAAAAATGGCCATTGACAACACACTGTGTTATTGAAAAAAACAAAAAAAAAACACCAGCATAAAGCTGCTGACGTTACCAAACGCAGAGACGACTGCAAAAGTATGCAAAAGCTTCCTCAAAGTACTCATTCTACTAAGCATTAGAGTGGTCGCACAAAGCGCTTCGTGGCACTTGGCATCATTGCGGACATCGATTGCGCCATCAAGCGTTCAATTGCTCAAGTAGCGTCCAAGGCTCTGGGCGAACGCCGTCCCAGCGACCAGTGCCACGCAGTGTCGTGTTCGTCGCACCTTCGCCTCTTGGCACCTCTAGGTTTCGCCACCGGGGAACAAACGCGCCGACAGCCATCAACTTCTCTGTTTTTATTTTGATGTTTATGTTCGCTTTCTTCTTCCTTAAAAAAAACTGCTCGGCAGCAAAAGAAAGAAAATGCACACACACACATACATGAAGAGTAGATCTTTAGCCTCTTGGCATTGTCAGCAGTACTCCGTTTCACCTTACAATGTTCTGTGATGGACGCTACGAGCTGAACGCCGACACCAATTCGTGCTGCATATAGACGTGAAGTATACTTATTTGTTTCAATTTAACCGTGTTGTTTCCATGTCGTCGCGGCCATTTGCTTAGTCAAAACTGAGCCACTGACGCCACCGTTGCAAATATACAATTGGCTTCTCGCCGCCACCCGCAAGAAGGTGCGGCTCAGATTTTATTACACCGAACCATTTCCAACAAAACGCTAACTGCCACATGGGATTACGGTTCCATTCCTGTTAGGGTTTAATATCAACAGTTTTGCTTTGGTTCATTTAAAAATATCGGTTTTGCTTTAGTTTTTGGTTTGGGTTTGGTTCAACATCGTGGTCAAAAGGTACCGCATTTACTCGAGCAATAGCCGCACTGTTTATGAAGAAATCCTGAGGGTTCGCTTTTACGCGGAGCATGCAGATTGCCAATCACTGCGATCGACAGCATGATTAGAGCTGTTTACAAGACAGAGATAATGTGTTCGCGCGAAGATACCATCTGTGAAGATTGCATTTGTATGGAGAATCGTGTTCTCGATCTGGTTATTCACTATGTTATTTATGCACAACACAATGATTGGCTGCATATGTGTTCTGTGGGAAACTAGACTCAAGGGCCTTGTTCATAAATAGTGCGGCTATTACTCGAGTAAATACGGTACATGCTAATCGCGCATGATTGCAACAGTCCCTTTGTCGCGTCTCGCGGCGCCAAGTTGTATATTGCAATTATTACAGAAGTCGAGCAATTCTGGTAGTTTGCATTTTATCATTTGCTTTCCGTAACCAGTTTTACACGAATAAATGTTTCATATGTTAATGCTATGTGTAGAATATGTGATTGTTCTTTTACATAAACAAGCTAACTGAGTAAGAAGATTCGTGTTGTTTTTTGCTTCCTGTTTATAGGCTATACTTAAACGAAATGTATACATGTTATGAATGTTTATTATGCCATGTTTTTTGAAAAAGTGGTGCAGAAGGGTGATCATAAGGAACATTATCTATATTTCTAAGCATTTTCTTCAGCAGTAAGTAAATCTTGTGCGAATTTTGGAGGGTCCCGTTTCCCCATACTAGATGACAGTAATTTATATAAGAATAAAATAATGCGTTATGTACGAGAAGTTTAACTCTAGTAGGTAAAATATAAACCTAAACCCCCCCAACCCCCTTCCCATTCTAACCAACCTTTTTTTAAGAAATTTTTTTTTTATATTTTAATTTGAGACACCCATGTCTAGAAAGGTTGACTTATAGGCAGCAATATACATACATCTCCTAAGTTGTCCGGCTAATGCACTGCAAAGTGTTTTTTTTTATTATTATTATTTTTTTTTTTCAGGCTTTACACATTTATTTAAAAAAAGCTGTGAAAGCTGCACTAACCTGGTCTGTGCAGGCAAGCTATATGGCCCAGAGGGACACAAATAAAAGGGTAATCGTCACGGTAATTTTGATAAGGAACTAAAATTTGTTGATTAAATTTTTAATTGGTTAAAATAAACAGGGCTCCAATTCTAAACTTTCTGAGTGTCATTGAAATCCACATTATATCAGCCAATTAAAAAAAAAAAATTGGAGCACGTGGGAATGGCAGTGGTGTGTCAAAGTTACCACTCATGCAGCAGGTGCAATGCTGTTGGTGCAAAATCGTGGATGATAACACTGTCCATTTGAGTGGCAACTTCAGCGTACCACAGCACTATTCCGGCCCCTCTAAATCTTTCTAAAATTGACCGATTTAGTGCTTTTCGATCACCGTATGCTCCGGACTATGGTCCGGAACATACGGACTATACATGTTTAAAAGTTGAAATTTTAGGCTGTGCACACTATCTACGTGTGCGGAATATACAGGAATTTTGTTTTTCAATATCGTTGATTATGACGAGACGGATGTTGTGAATAAAAGAGTATGTTAATGATAATTTATGTATATTATAGGCTTTTTTGTGATCTAAGAAAGAAGACATATGTCAAGGGGTGCCGCGTATTAGAAGATTTTCGTGTCGACTAAGCACCAGGTGCAGACTATGCACCGGGTGCGAACTATTTAAGCAAAAACTTTTATTTTTGACCCCAAATTTGCCCCTGCGGACTATAGTCTGGGCAAGTTAATAGTTGGAATTATATGTACATTTTCAATAATTAAGGAGTTAACAGATTTTAGTTTATTTATTTATTTGATACCCACAGTGCCTTTCGGCATTACTTTACATTACTTTCGGCATTATCAGACTTATCATGACTGTTAGCTCATAATATGTCCCCCTGGCCATATAATTCACCTGCATAGACCACATTAAAATAACTTTCATGGCATCAAGAAAAAAAAAAAAAAAAAAAGGTGTAAGTTAACAAAACCCATTCAAAATACAAAATTGGATGCTTGGAGTTGCAAGAAATATGCTAACTGCCATAAGATCTGATGAACAATGTCACTATGCTGGGTCCAGAGAAGTAACACTATGCAAAGTTTCCCTACAGAAAAGGCAACGCTTGTCATGCTTCCACAGACTTATTATATATTACTGGCAGTTTCCACAGCTTATGGGAGCAACTCTGCTCCAGCGTATCAGGTGGAAACGAGACAGTTAAAGAGCTCAAGATATGCGATGCTGGCCCACCTGGTAAGCCAACAGTTTCCGACAGTCCTTTGTAGAGTGTCTTCTTAGAAAAGGCCTTCAACTTGTCCTTCAGTTCACCACGCTCGGCTTCAAGAGCATCGATGTCTGCTTGCAGGTGATCCATGCTTTCTTCAAATTCTCTGAATGAAGAAATGAAAACCGTTACTTTGCCCCAAATCTAAACACCCAGCTCACTTTAAAATAAAACTAGCCCAAGCGACGATAACTGTTCCACTCAAACTAAAGGCAAGATTATTCTTGCAACTCATTTCCCAAGCACTTTGGAAACTTTGTAAAACCTAGCCAGATGAGATATTTTTCATGACTACTCGCATATCTTGCAGTCCTCCACGGCACAGCCTTTCCCCTCGTAAATTAAGAATGAGTCGGCTGTCTCGTAAGTGAATTCTAAAGAGGTTGGTCTCAAGTATGTGCCCTGCCTCTGGCCAACTTACTTTTCTTTCCTGAGGAGCAGCATCTTTGTTTCGTCCAGCTGCCGCTGCACCTTGTCAGCCCGATCGTCGCTGTCGCGCGTCAGCATGCCCAGCTTCTTTTCTGCCATGTCCTTCCGAACGTGCATCTCGCTGTACTCTTCGCTCTGCAGTTTCCAGGCGGGTAATTAGGATCTCTGCTGCCACAACCAATGTTAGTGCAGGCAGCATCTGCCTTCTTGCACTCTTTTTCTATCAAACAATGTGTGGCTATTTGGCTATCGAACTATGCTGCACAGCAAAAAAGCAAGTCCCGTTTGCACCTATGTTACACGAGAATAATCACTTCCAAGTCGCGCACATAAGTTGCACCTTGATGCCATAATGCGATACTGCAATGGACCTTTCCCGGGGTTTCAACGGCGCATGCGCGGCAGCAGCAGACTGCAGTCTGCCATTTTTGGTGGTGTGGTGCTTCCGACTCGGGACCGCTGGAGACAGCGGTGGTCGCGCGTTTCGAAGTTCTACGACAGGCCCTGGCGCTATTTCGTTGTTGGCTGCAGCAATGACAGCAAGCGTTGTCGCGGTTTAAGCTTCTTTGGGTTTCCTTCTACTAGCCTGCACTCGACGAAGCAACAGCTCTGGATTCGGGCGATCCAGCGAAACAATGCGGACGGCTCGTAAAGGCAGCCTTCAAAGCACCCCCGCATTTGCAGTTGCCACTTCAAGGAAGGTTCATGTTTTGTTCCTTTGTTTTTTATTTCTGTGTAAATACAAGTCAGCAGATTGGTTAGGTATGCTGTCGTGTCGTTTATGTGCCACGCAGAGTGATCGCCTCTGAGTTGGCGTTTCTGGGATAGTGCGTTTCACTGGCACACTTTTTTGTTTACCAACGTGACGGTCTCGCGTTGCTACGCAAACTGCCTGTCTGCTTTTTGGTTGTTGTAAACACTGGAATAACCCACAACAGGCACACCCAGAAAGTGAAATGGGAGCAGATCTATCACTACCACGACCGCATCTGCTGGTCTTGTGGTTAAATAAGAAAGAGGAAACAATCGTCTTGATGTGTTCTCCTCGTGTACGTATCGAGTAAACACAAATTAAGTTTTCAACATTGTCTAAGGGCGCGGAACTAAAAATAAAGAAAAGAAAAAAAGAAAACAGGTGTGTCCGATTTTGTTTTTTCTTCAGGACCTACAGTCACACACAGCTGTAGCCTGAAGTGGGGTGACATCAATGACGAGGCTCGCTCAGAAATCGGTGGCTGCACGTATTAATCTTAAATATTTATTAAACATGTATCTTAGTGGTGAATTTGACCTTGTGAAATTTCTAAGTGTTGATTCCTTCCAGTAAAAAACGAGACCATCAAACTCGCCAGGGTCAGCGGTGCTCGCAAACAACATTTAGTATAGTTGCTGAACAAGTCCGCCGTTGACCCGGCCAAGTTTGCTGGTCTCATTTTTTAATAGGAATGGAGCTACACGCTGAAATTTCACAAGGTGAAATCCACCACTAAAATACAGCTTTGATGAGAATTACATTGGTACATTCAGGCGCGGAGTTTTTTTGGGCGGTTTTAGAGTAAGCTTTCACATCTATGAGAATACATCTTGCCAATTAAACTTTTTGAGCAAGTTAAACAAATAGCTTGCAATTAAAAAAAAAAGAAAGGCTTTCCTTAACTGTAACTTGGTCTAGAATATTTTCTGAATTTTTCTGCCGACACCGCACAGACACATCAATTCTAGTTTAATGTAACTATTTGTACTTTCTCATAGCTCGAAGAGGGTTTCAACTGTGTCGTCAGTCACAACGGGCGCCACGGCGAAGTCAGTCGTCCATTCATTCGGGAAACAAATGTACAAATGGTCGTCCGTCGTTAACGCATTCATTGAAAACAAATCTACTCGTCAAACAAATGCTGAGCAGTGAGCGCATTCACCGACTGCGTTCAGACAGCCAACATAGCTTGAAGCGGAAAGAACCGGAAGCAAGGCAGGCATCAAAAATGTCTCTCCTGCTAGCCGATAGATGGCGCCCAACATTTGCAGAAAAGGCCCATTATTTTTGCAGTTGAGACAGGGAGAAGACGGCTAGGCCTTCATCTAAAAAATTGATGCAATGCCGGATGATGCCAGAATTTGAAGAATTGCGCACACGAAGATGCCTCCAATATACGCCTTTATGGGTTGCCAGGACTATTTCCAATATGTATTTGACTAATTTCAAGATTATATTAGAGCCTGAGTTTTTTTATAGATAAAAGGTGGAGGTTTAAAGAGAACAACTCACCCTAAAGCCCAAAATCGCATCTAAAAAATAAATCTGCCATTTTTTGACTGGCAACTTTTTTTACCTACTCTCAGTCGTAAAAATTTGGTGTCCGCAAAATATTCCTGAAACCCGTACTTGAGATAATTGTTAACAAATTGAGACTGCAAAAATTAAGTCCCTTACAATAACTGTTTAAATATTGACAGATAAAATGTAAAAACAAAAGCAGCAGCATATATTTGGTTGCAAGTGAAGAAGTGCAGGAGAGGCTCTTTGCCTGGTTTCTCAAGAGACAAATGGCATCAAGAAATTTCCTGGCATCACAGAAAGAAAGAGGCATCGGTGCCTTTTTCAAGGGTGGTGCTCAGAACTCTGCCCAATGCACCTTGCACTGTTTTTGTTGCTTCTTATGCAAGTTGGTATGGACTACATTTATGTTATGGAGGGTAAGAGGACCAAGAGTTGCCCTCTGGTCATCACAAAGTATTGCGGGGATGCGATTTCGGGCAAGAGCACCGCAGCAAAGCAAGCTCTACTAACGAGAGAGGCGACCATCAACCCTCCACTTGGGATCAGTATGGTGCTTGGTTAGCGAGCTAGAAAGTAAAAATAGTGCTATACACACGGGATTACCGTACCCCGTGTGTGCCTTTCTTCCCCCTGATTTGAGGGGTACAGCTAGGAAGCACACCTTGATTTTGAGGGCCGTCTTGAGGGCCACAATGTCGGCCTCGCGCGCCTCAAGCTTAGCGCGCAGTGCCTGGAGGTCCCGGGCCTGCTGCCTCGACGCCTGGGCCCGCAGGTGCAGGGGCGCGGGAGGCTTTGGGGGGGCGTCCTTTAGGGGCTGGAGGGCATCCCCTATGGAGTCGAGAGAGGCCGCCACGCCAGCCAGGGCATCCCTTAGGCAGTCGGGGCCCTGGTCCTCCTTGCCGTACACCCGGTCCGTTGCCTCGTGGGCCAGCTCCTTGAGCTTGTCGGCCGGCAACGGTGCGTCCTGCTCAGCCCGAGCCGCCACAGCTCGCTGCAGCGAGCAGGCCGCCTGCAGCACCTGCCCCAGGCTGCGCACGTTCGCCTCCAGCTGCTCCCGAGCCGGGCCAGACAAGGCCACGGGGGCATCGTCCGTGGGCAGGCGACGCCGCAGCTTGCGCGTCCCCTGGAGTGCTTCCGCCGCCGAGGCCAAGGCAGCGTCCAGGAGTGCCGCCAGGTCCCCCGCGTCCGAGCTGAGCAGGCGGCGCACCCAGCCCAGGGCGCACTGCACCGCCTCACAGGCCAGCCCCAGGCAGCGCAGGCCGTCCGCCAGCAGCTGCCCGTCATCCCGCAGCTCCCCCGACAGGTGCACAGCATACAGGCTCTCGAAGTAGCTCAGCGCCCGCTCCAGGTGCCCCAGCGGGATGTTCTCGTCCAGCTGAGATTTCCAAACAACCGCTCCTTTGAATGGACCCTTCATTTACCACTCGCCACGCTCAATTTCTCAACGTACCCGCGAGACCACTCTCCACTCCCCCATGCTTTCGGATTGTTATGAGAGGAATCAATTGACATCTATGCAAGCTTGATAGGAATAAAAGCATTTGGTCCTCTAAATGTCCAAGGTGAGCCTGGCTCCTCAAATGGGAACACTTGATTTGCGATTCTCGGAAAGCAGCAACTGCAAAACCACCGCTTCCTATATTTGCTTACAGCTTGCAGTGACGGTAAAGCTGAGGCTCCAGCACGAGCACCCGAGTCTTGGTTGAGTCTGCGAAAGCACCTGCCAAAGTTACGAGTGCATGCCTACTCGGTGCCACTACTGCACTTTGCACCCCATGCAGTATAAGGTGCTCATTCAGCACGAGCACATTGACAAAGGGTCTTCTTGCGGAGCCGAAAGGCAGCCTCTTCCGATCGCCCTAGAGCGTCCTCTAGAGTTGCTCTGCCTGCACGCAGTTTGTGCCCAAACGTCTAGGCAGCTCACCTCATCCTTGCGAAGCAGTTGCAGGTACAGGTCCACCAACTTCTCGTGGACCAGCATCTCCGGGTACAGCGTGGCCGTCTTGGTGAACAGCTCCACACTGCACGTCTCCAAGGCTGTGCCGTACTGGTGCAAGAGCCCCTGCAGCCGGCACAGCAGGAATCGCGTGAGGCCAGCATGTGCAAACTGGATCGCCTCTGAGGTCTCCGAAGTGGGTCCCGGTGGCGTGGCGTGACGCTGCTGCAGCTGCGAGGCCAGGATGTCGCACTTGGCAGCCACCCGCGACACCAGCAGCACCATGAGCACCCCGTCGTGCTCGTGGGCCAGAAATCCCTCTGTCAGAAAGGCACTGAGGTACTCGACGTGGCGGTTGGCCTGAGCCACTTCCAGGCGGCGCAGCTCGAGGTCAATGGCTCGCGTGTGCGCCTTGCTTTGGGCCAGCCGCAGCGCCAGGCCACTCACTTCGGCCGGGGGAGCGAGCTGGGCAGGCTCCGCCTGCAGCTGCTGCTCCAGCCCCAGCGTCTGCTCGCGCAGCTGAGCCACCAGAGCTCGGTACTTGGCCACCGTCTGCTCGCAGTCTGCCAGCGCCTCGTGGGCTGCCTCGACACGTCGCTGGGCGTCCGCGGCCCGCACCTGCGCCTGGCTCAGCTCCTCTCGCAGCTCCAGCTCTGTCTCTCGTGCCTGCTCCTGCAGCTGCTCGTTGAGGTCATGCAGCTTCTCGTAATCGTTGAGCTCCTCGCGCAGGTCACGCAGCACCTCTTCCAGGTCCAGGTTCTTCTCCGTCAGGTGCTCCACCATCTGTTCGGCGCCCAGGGCCATGTCCAGCTGCTCCTGCAGCTCCGCAACTGTGCATTCTGTCTGCTGCTGGCGCTCCTCCAGGGCCTGCTTCATGCGCGTCAGCTCCACCACCTCGTCGCAGCGCTGGTCCAGCTCCCGTTTTAGCTGCTGCTTCTCGTGCTTCAGCTGCGTCGTCAGGTCACGCAGACGCACCAGCGCCTCCCGCATCTTTTCGTTCTCCTGCTCCAGCTGCCGCTCCCGGTAACTGTTGGGCTCGCCCGTCGAAAGCTCCGATGTCAAGATCTTGTGGTCTAGTTCGAGCATCTCATACTTCTCCTTCCAGTGATCCACTTCCTGCTGGAGCTGCTCCAGCTTCTCTTCCGCCATCTCCTTCTCGACCGTTGCCATCTCTATCGTGTCCGCCAGGTCTACCACCTCCTCGGCATGGCGCTCGCGCTCCTCGTGTGCTTCTTGTGCCTCCCGCCGCGCCTGCGCCAGCTGTCTCTGCAGCTCCGCCTGCGACTCGCCGATCTTGGCTTTGAACTCGAGCAGCTGCTGAACCTGCAGCCGCGTGCGCTCATAGTCGCGCAGCTGGGCCTTCAGCTCCTGCCGCTTGTGCATCATCGTGTCCAGCTTCTCCTGCAGGTCCTGCACCTGGGCCCGGAGGGCCTCCACCTCCCGGCTTGGCTCCAGCAGCCAGGTTAGGGCCTGCTCCTGGGCCACGGGCTCTGCCACAGGCTCCGCCGCAGGGCCCGGGGTGGTCGTGACTGCAACCAGCGTCGTGACATCCACAACGCTTTCCTCACCACTAGGGGGCAACACGACCCCTGCTCCTTCAGCACCCTCCCTCCGGCAGTATGTCACATCGCAATCGTTAGACAAAATTCGGTTGCTCCAGGATCAATGCCAAACATTGCCCAACAATAAAAACAGACAATTAAACCTGTTTAAGGAATGGCCTATAGCTTGCCACATTGCTTGCTCTAGTGAAATTATTCAAAATTTAATACCATATAGTTTAAATAATATGTTAGACAGAGCCACACATCAAATAGATTTGTATGCAAACTAAGAAAACACATCTTGGAACCCACATCCGACCTGCAACTTACAAAGACTGGCAAGAAAAAATTGGGCTTTTGTAGTATCTGCATATTCCAGTATAAAACAATGTATCCCCGCAGAAACTCAACTATAGACCTTTTCTGCAAGTGCGCCGCCATCGTGAATTGACGTCACTTCCAGTATGGGCGAAAACATTGTTTTGCCTTTGCCACGCCAATGGAAGGCATTTAGGATATAAGCGTAACCATCACACTTTCTCATTTTGCCTCCCCTTTATTTTTTTACTATTCGCAGGTTGAAACATTAGATTATTTTTTCGTCGCCCATACCGGATACGCTTATTAGGTAGCTGGGGACAAGAGTACGCAGAAAAGGTCTATATGATTGCTGCGAGCCAATAGAATGACATGGAGAAGGGCGCGAAGCACCTAGGTTTGTGTAAGGACATTTAGAAGATTGCACGCATTGTCTTGTGCAAAACAAGAAAAGCCCACGCCTCTACGTCCTGTTTTATACCCAAACATTTTTATGCCCTTTTGCCAATAAAAGAGACATCAATGCTTTTTTATAACATTGGGGAAACTAGACATGGGACTCCAAATGTCAAATAAAAGATTGCACTTTAACAGTACTCAGCAGCGTGGTGTGAGGGAGACACGAGCAAGGTGCTTTAGAAAGTGCTTTCCTTGTGCAAAGTATATTTAGGAGAGTTACAAACGCTATGGCCATTCCTTTAACAGTGCTTCATGCAACTTGTGCAGCGCCTGTTCATTTATCAATGTTACCTCGTCCTATCGCATGTTTCTCGTTTCAGTCGTAAAAGACGAAAAGCAAAACCTCATTTCTGAGGTCACATTCACGTGCATTCTCGCCTGAACATTATGGAGAAAGAAAATGTTAGCACAGTTATTAGAGTAGCGAATCCAATCAATGTTTTAGTTTCCTGCGGACACGCAAGTATGCAGTGACCGAGCAGTGGATACGACTGCGGAAAACTACCCCTCCCGATCAACAGCAACTGTTAGCAGGCCAAGAGAGCAGCCTTTCACCTGCCAGATCATCCAGGCCAGTCTTCTGCAAAGCATGCACAGCACGATGAGATAAGCAAGCACTAAGTGCCAAGAGCTACCTAGGGGCTTTGTCGCTTCTGTCCCATCCGTAGGTTCATCCAGGAGCTTGAGCTGCGACTGGCGTACGAAGATGCCGTGATTGTCAGCGCACGAGAAGTAGGTGCGGCCCTGGACCGTGCCGTTGTTCTTGCCCTTGGGCTCATCCAACACCACACCCACCCAACGGCCCGAGGAGAAGGTCGTGGTGCCCATGTAAGCCACCCGGCCACAGACATCCTTGCCGGCAACCTCGACCCGCGCACCCACCTCCAGCATGTTGGCTGCCACGTGCCTGTGACTAAGGAGAGAGCACGAATGCCCACATGAATACCTGGCAGATTTGTCTGGTTCACTAAACTGTACAGCGGGCGGACAGATGAGCTGGCTCAGCTAAGCGCCTGCTGATGCGTTCAGCCATGGAACCGAGTTTGACAATAGGGAATGGTGCCAGTCCATTTCCCAACAGTTCAACGGAGCTCCTTGTATGTCACTCTTGTCGCTCCAGCATGAGCTATGTTGAACCAGTTGACACTGCGCACGAAATAGGCTTCGCACTCCAACCTACCAATCGTGTCAGCACAGTACACAGCAACAAAGCACCGCATACCTCTGTGAGGCGACACACAGAAATAAAAAGATTCACACGGACTGTACCGCGTTGGCTGCCTTCTTATTTTTCCGGGAATACTGTTTCCCAACCAGTTCGCCTGCACTCCACCTCTTCAGAGTAGCACAGCAGCAGTACCATGTGATGAAACAATGGGAATACATATCCGTCATAGTTTGAGTGTCCTACATCCAACAAGCTGAATTTATGCAGCCTGCCCTCCAATTAACGCACCAGACTAATATTCGCACAGCTCGAATTTTGTTCATGGAGAAAGCATTTCAGAATCTTTGTTCACCAATGCTTGTGCTTTGGCAGCTAAAAATCGACAAAGGAAAGATGGCAACGCTCTGTGGAAATCTAACGGCAGCAACTATATTTATCGAGAGTCAACAATTAATGTCTTTAAGTCTTTAAGTCCTTGCATGGAGAGCATATGAGATACCAAGTTTCGAAGGACCACACTAGATCGGAGCATCGCGAGTTTCTTGATGATGTAAATACCGAAAGCTAATTTTCCGGTTCCGTCTGGAACATCAAAACAGTCCGGACGATTTCTTGTGGTTTTTGTTTTTATTTTCCGCAGTCTGAACCAACGCACTAGGTTGAAGAATACGTTAAGTTACGCAGCGTAAAGTTTGGGTTGTTGGAACTCAACATGATACGAGTGATACCGGCTGCCTCAAAGAGGTTGAAGGAACCAACAACGCAAATTGCGTGCTTCTCCACTTCTGCAGTTACATATCCAAAAAGACTCATCAAATCAATACTTAATAAAAAAAAAATAAAAAAAAACAGACACACACACACAAAAACACTGACATTAGCGAGCAGGCGGAAAGACTCGAAGCGATGCTCACAAGCCGCATTTTAGGTCCTCTGTCGCGTAGATAACACCGCATTATTCTGAAACAGAATAACAAAAAAATACCAATGGCGACATAGCGCTGTTCCATTTGTTAAAAAGGCTAATATTTCTTTGGCACCTGTCAGCTAGAAGTCCCAGGAAACATACTCCGAAATGAATGGCCGAGAGCGGACAGATCAGAAGATGACCGCGAAACGACTCCCAGAAAACCGACATGCATCGCTTGTTTCTGTGTTCCTAGAAATCAAACATTTCCTGTACCTTTAAAACCACGTCTCCTCCGTGACTTTAACCACTTTAACCGTTGATCGCAGAACCATTGGAGAGGAAGACGGTCATGACTCATTAGTAGGGATGTCGGGATGTCGCGAACTTTTGTCGAACCGTATTTTTGGTCGAACTTTAGGGGTTCCACTGGATCGACGAACCTTCGACCGTACTGGCCGAACGTTTGCCGATTCGAAAATTTGGCGACGAATCTAGGGATTCGGCAGAGCCGAACTTTTGCCGAACTTCTCTAGAGATTCGGCAAAGGATGGATGAGTGGGTAGATAGATTAATATTGACTGTTCCCGTTATATTGGGCGGTAGCTTGCGCTACCTAGCCTTGAATTATTTAACTAGCTTTGCTGCATTTCCATGGGAGCTAAGCCTTTTTCTTTCTTTACTTTTTCCTCAGGTAAGTTCGCTCTTTGCAAATTTTACAAAAAAAAAAAAAAGCACCATCTGTGGGCAACGCTGCTGCATGATGCCGCTCAGGTAAATTTAAAAAAAAAATATTCGAAAATGTTCTTTTATTATGTCAAAAACTATTGACGTTCTGTACATCCCTACAATATTGAAGAAACAACGATTTCGTCATGTTCCCCATGCATTTCTGACCGGAGTTCTAACCTTCGGGCGTTCGCCGCTAGTCGCCGAGAGATGGCGTTGTAGATGGTGCTACTATGCTCCGAAGGAGCTATATAGTGCTCTAGTGCCACCGGCCCTTGCGCGACTCGACCTGAATCGATACGTGCAGACATGCAGTTCCCGGAGTGGCCGCTGCAGGAGAAGTGGCGGCGTTGCGATCACTGTCCAGTTCTTGAGTATGGATCGAAGCCACTTTTCCAAAGCAGGCTCCATGGCAGTTTCCCAACTGAGTTGTCTAGTAGCGTTGCAGAGTATTGAATGTACCGAATACCATTCAGTCCGCTTACCGGAAGTCCATCCTGCAGAATCCAGTTCTGATTGGCGGTGGCAGAAGTTGTCAGTCAGCCATTTTGGGGATGGGCTCAAAACAACAAAAAAACAAAACATAAAAGAAACAATAAAATTGCACGAGTAAACTTAAGACTGCTTACGTGTAGGAAGGCGAAAGCATTACAGTCCCGCGGGAGAAATGTTTTCGAGTAATGTTTCTACATGCATTAAAGTTTAGGACGACGTATAGGACGACGTCCTAGAGATCGACGCCAAGTATGGAGTCTAGGACGACCTCTAGAACGACGTCAAGGACGGCGTCTAGGACGACCTTAAGGACAACCTCGAGAACGACGCCTATATACGTTTCACTTTACAATGGTCCACGGGGGACGCTACGAGCCCTCCCGACCAATCCAGCGCTGTGACCGTGTCACGTGATTACTCGCCATCATGCGAGTTGCTGCGTCCCTCCTAAGGGTCACGTGACACTCACACGACATTTGATTGCCTTAGATGACTTGTAGGCTCCTCCGCGGTACACTGTTAGGTGACAAAGTATAGAGGACGACGTCTAAGACGACTTCTAGGACGACTTCTAAGACGACTTCTAGGACGACTTTTAAAGGGGCCCTGCAATCATATTTAAGCGTCTACCTTTTTTGCGGTTTCCACGTCTCTTAGGGTTCGGGCAAGCCAGCGGGCACGGAGAGAGTAGCTAAATATCAGTGCATCATATTTTAACCAGACGACGCGGAAACCTCCTTCACCGACGGGGGCGACCCGCGGTACCGAAAGCGCGCGAAATGTGACGTCTTTGGTCCTGGGCTTACTACTGGTCAGAGCCGCTAAAAGCTTCTTTTTAATCGAAATACAAAACATAAGTGGCGCGAACCGTTTAAATTGTTTATAAAAGTAGTTTTTGCTCAGTATTTTAGATCAGAAAAGAAACAAATGCAGTTTATAAAGTACGGAAACAAGCAATGACCCGTCGACATACCCGCCACCAAGCGGTGGAAAAGGCGGCACATACTAGAAAAGAGTAGTGGGATCCGGCGCCGACATGGAAAGATCCCGGATGTACGCGGCGGCGCTGCGGTCATTTACGGACTGGAGGATCCGACCGGCTCCGAGCGTTCCGAAGGCCATCAGCGAGTAGTTCTGTCTTGCGTTTCGGCCATTTCGCGGTACGGCAGCGCGAAGTGGCTTCCATTCTGAACTGATCTTTACCCTGTGTGTGCTGCCGTTTGTGGCCAATGAAGTGTCATGCCGAATTAGTTTTAAATCGCGCAGCAAATGCAATGAGAGCCGCTCTGGCTGCCCGCTGTATACAGCCTATCCAGAACACGCTTCAGTGGCGCCCTCTCGCGCCGTCGACACGCATTGCGGCAGCCGTGAGCGCTCGCTGAACTCACTATCCCTCCTCTAGTTCACGGCCACTCGAGCAACCAAGGACGTCATGAGGGAGGTTATTTTTTGCTTGTTTTTGTAATTTTAATTTGCCTATAACTTTCAAAATAAAGCGAAATTTGAGAAAAGAAAAGTTACATTAAGTTACTACGGTCAGTCCGCTCAGGTTTGGTGCAAATTAAAAACCAGTAAAAAAGTGCTTGCAGGGCCCCTTTAAGATGACCTCTAGGACGACGTCAAGAACGACATCTAGGGCGATTTTTAGGACGACGTCGAGAACGATGCCTAGAGGACGACATCTAGGACAACGTAGAGAACGACGCCTAGAGGAGGACACTTAAGGACGCTGTGGCATATTTGCGTGGGCAGCCACGTTTGCTTGCGGAAGCCGCCGTAGATGTAAATGCTGCTGCTGATGTCGAGGCCGTAGATGTAGGTGCGGTCACCTCATAGTCCATTAAAATGAAGCACACAACGAGCACAGACAAAATCCGAAGCGCACCTTTTGCACACGGCGCTCCAGTGGTGACATCACGCTGATGACATATGACGACGCTTTATGACATCATGCAGATGACGCTTCATGACATATTTTTATGGCCATCTTTTGGGCACAATGACGCTGGCGCCGATGCCGCTTGTTTTTCATGTAATCTGACAAGCGAGGTCGTCTTAGAGGTCTGGACGACCGCAAGGACGACGCCATGGGACAGCGTCGTCCTTGAGCATACGATTGAGCAGTGTGTGCCGCACAATCACATTTTTATGGCCATTTACTACTATTTTTTGCTCAATGGGACAAGTAAGGCTTTCCCCTTAATAATCCCTGGAGGAATAAGGGACAAACACAAATCTCCAAACACAGCTATAGGTGACTGGTGCGTGACTGAAAAAATCCGCCTGGTCTCGATATCGAACCAGGAACATCTTCATTTCCAGTGGAGCACATTACCAACTGAGCTAACCAGGAGTTAAGCGTCAGTAGAGCAAATGGGTTTTACCAGTTGCCACTAGTCGAACACCAGGGATGAATGGCCTGCATTTTAAGGTTACGATGTTAACGTTCCACTGGAGTGTTAACATTGTTTATTCTGTCCAGCTCGCCTGCACCTTTGCATTAATAATGTATATAAAAGAAATGCACGCCCAGGGTTGCCAGCTACTCGCAAATTCACCTGCCAAATTTTTGTAAGGTATTTAGCCCAAAAAAAGTCAAATGTTGGGCTATGAAAATAGCCCAAATAGCTCAAAACATGAACCTTCATACAAGGTATTTGAAACAATTCTTTGGAACACTGATGACAAAATAGCAATTAGCAATTTAATAGTTTGAATCCTGGACAAAAGCTCACCGGAGAGAAGCTCACCGGACAAAAGCTCACCCATTTTTTCACAGACCCGGACAAAAGTTCACCAGGAGAAAATTTCATGTTGGTCTTAACATGAGTGCGGACAACTTTGATGCATGGGTATGACATTAGATGCTACGATAAATTAAATCTGACAGGCGTATGGTTTGTTGATTATAGATTGAAAACAAGTTTATTTATCGATTTGTAAGAAGCGAATGCGGTTCCCTACTACCTCCAGCTGTCTTGGTAGATCCGGGTGTATCTGTAACCCCTCGGAAATATTTTTCAAACGATTCTCAAGGCGCAGAGTGGTTTCTCGCACCCGCTTCACTGGGGCTGACCTTTCCGGGCTTGTGTCAGTGCTGTGGCAACGATCGCCTAATCTTGCTGTAGCCATTCAATTTGCCTCCAGACGCCTGGATGGGCGTGCCCGACAAGCGTCTGGATCCCGGAATTCCTTCTTTCGCAGTTGTTGTTCGTCCGGTCTTTATCTTGTAGAGCGTCGCCGTACATATTTCACCGTTCCAGGGAAACTCCGGTCATCTTCAATGCACAGTCAGACAAAAGGAAGAATTTTCTTCGGGTGCCGCCGAATAATGGGGGGTCTTTGGCATACGTGCAGTCAGAGTAACATAGCAGGTCGCCGATGTCACCGGTAGACTTCTCTCTGATGTAGGTTAGTCCTTCGGGCACAAGCTATGGCAGAAGGAACGCCAGCCTATCCAAAATCCCGCAAAGCTTTCTAAAGTGGTCATCTGTCTTGTATTTGTACAAAAGACCCAACTCATGTTCCTTCAAAAAAAAAATATATATATATATATGTATATATATATTTTTATTTGCAATTCGATGGTTTGTATAATACAGCTTTCCTTCAATTTCCCTTTCACATCACACTGAGATAATCCTTGATTTCAAACACATTTACGACATGCAATGATGGAAATAATTTAATTTCTTAGCCATTCACTTCAAATATTACCGTGCATTCTGCCTAACCTTTATGTGCATGTTTAGCGTGACGTAAGCACAATAAAAAAGCGAGGTTACCAAAGGGTGACTTTGCATCTTCGGTCACTCTTCGGGTTCAAAAACGTTGGTTCATGAAGTTTTTTGGACGAGGCACAAAGGTGCTCCGGCATACCTTGAGTCAAGCAAGCTTGATCTAATCAGCTCCACTCAGTTTCAGTGACCTAAATTTTGGTACCAAATCGCTGCTTCTCTGCCTGTTGTGGCTGATCTGTCCACACCTTTGCATGTGATGGGGTACCAGTTCTCCTAAAAGTGGTGCAATGTCCATCACATCCGCACTTTATCCCATCCCGTGTTTCGCCCGGGTAGCCCAAAAAATCAGATGAGCTTTTGGCCGGGTCTCTGAAAAAACGGGTGAGCTTTTGTCCGGTGAGCTTCTCTACAGTGAGCTTCTGTCCGGTGAGGTTTTGCCCGGTGAGCTTGTTTGGTTACCTTTGTTTCCTACCTGGCTCAAAAATACCAGGTTTAAGGCTTAGAAAACAAGTGCTTTAAGATTGCTTGAATCTCAAATGTGAAAAAGCCCGAAAATAGCCAACCTCTGTGCGCGCCCCACCAAAACGTAAAGACCTTCTCCAAGCTTTATACCACTATGCCCCCTGTGAAGGTGTGGTCTGTGAAGTCTCATGTAAACAGCCCAAAACAATAGAGCATTTGTTTATTTTTTAAACGGACAAAAGAATTCTACATCAGTCCAATTGCATTATTTGTTTTCTCACTATTGAGAGCAACAGTGTGCCATACAATATGTGCATAGTCTAAGGATCTGTATCTGGAAAATGCGAAAGTCAGTGAGACAGAGCCTGCCCTCGATTGGTCAGGTCTCCCCGATATTCTCTAAAAAATGCGAAACTTCAACATACTAGCCAAAAGTGTTGGTGACATATTTTTATGTAGCGGCTATTGTGTCTCATTCTGCTAAACACTGATGCAATCAAGAAAAAAATCTTTCTTGTGGTGCCAAGCAAAGGCACTAAGCTACAGATTGTACGGTCCAGGGTTTGATGCCCACCAACATGTGGAAAGTATCGCTTGCTATGATTAATCATAAATAATTATGACTAAGTAGGTCTTCTGTTTAAATGGTTACGCATTGCTTGCTACGCACTGTGTATGTTTATGTTATCTTGGTCTGTGCGTAACGCTTTTTCGCACACTCAAGCGTGACGCTTTTTGCCTAAAATCCAGCCCACAAGCATTCTGCGTTAAAATGGGACTATATTTCATGACTTGCAGCCGCAAGTGGCATCCATGGGACTATATGGCGTGACATCAAATGGCCGTCTTAAAATTAGTTGGCAAGATGTGCCATTATCTACTGAATCAGGCTATCTTTTATAAATATTGTCTCTTGAACCCGAGTGAATGCATCAATAGCCTAAGTTTTAGTGGCATCGTCTGCCCAAGGTGAACAAAATAACTCGCCTTTATCCCTGTCGTCACTAAGTCAGCCCGAGTCCCGACTTCCCTAGGAAAACGCAAGCGCTTTGAGATTTTGTGTCGTGCTGTCCGTCATTTTATTTCTCCGTGTCTCGGGGATTGGTTTGTTTCCCAACCAGCATAAAAGATGGTTTCACAACTTTTGCTTAAAGCAAAGCCCATAGCATTTTTTATAAACAATTAATTTGATCAACTTGTAAATAAAACTACCAAGATGTAACATTTATATGGTAATGTTTTATCAGTATACTGCTCAGGAAAGCTTGATTTGCATTTGGAAAGAACCAACTAGCTCAGCTCCAGCCAGTAGTTGGAAAGAAGGGTCCTCACATTTCATAATTATTAGTATTTCATCAAAGCCACAAATCGTCATAGAGATTTGTGACTGAAACCATTTCATGGGATGTCTACGACCAAACCAAAGCAACAGTGGAAACTCGGCAACACTCACTTGTCTCACTTTCTCATTGCGTTCTGTCAACACTCGGTGCCAGCGATGCACTTCCCTCAATGCAATGTGGCCAATTGTTCTTTTTTTAAATTTAATTTGACTCCAGAAGTGATTACATTTATTAAAGCTACTTTTTTATTTTAAATAGAGTGCACAACCCTTACTTTTTTTTCTCTTGGTAGAGTCAAGGTAACCAGTTTGCAAAACTGAGGCGAGAAGATTGAAGATGAAAAAAACTACACTGGACTGAAATGTTTTTTGTTCTTTTTTCCTCGGTTATTTTTGGTTTGTGGATTGGAGAGTTTGTACAGAATTAAAATTTATGGAGGGAAAAACGGGTTGAATGTTCCCGACTGGACCACGAGGATTGTTTAAAAAGGAAATATGTAAAGCATCCTTTGAGGTGCTTTTTTATATGAGCACCCACATTCTTTCCCATCTAAGAGACTGCTGTTTAAATGAATGTACCTTATCTGTTGCCAAGACTAAAATAAAATTGTTTTTCAATCTGTGTTAACGTAGGTCACATTGCACCATAAAGACTTGCATTCCAAGGATTCCAAATGCACTTTTTTATTACTGATGTTAGATATGATACACAATTTCAAAAACAACATTAACAAGCCAGTAAAATGCTTGCTATAGAACAAGAACTGCCTTCATTCACTCAATAAATTTAAAGTTAAAATGTAGAGCAAACAAGTGTGCTGCTTATGCAATCATAGCTATCGCAGCTGGAAGCAAACTCAATAATTGTGCTATCCCATTCCATTCATTTTTCAACTTTACACAGAAAGCTAGAAAAAAAGAGCCACATCTCCTCACACATAAAATGATGGGAAAATAAAATGACCACCAGAAGTTGCACAAAGTATAAAATTGCTCATGTACACATAAAACGAAACTACAGTAGAACCTCCCAGCTGAACTTCAAGGGACAAGGCAAAATTGGTCCACATATCAGAAGACAAAAGACCCCTTAGGCAACCCGAAGAAACAAAACCCAAACATTTGCAAAGTTCCGTTAATAAGAGTTCCACTCAAGCAGATCCTACTGTAGCACAAACCGCAGAAAAACTTCAAAAACAAAAAGGTTTTTTTTTTTTTTTTTTTTTTATCAGCACGAAACAAAGGTGCTTTGTGCTTCAAAACAGTTTGTACAAAACGATGTTGCTGTTCTTCGGAACACACTTATGCATGACTGATGATTTAACTAATCCTAGTTTTGGAAGGAAGACGCAACAAAATCATGATGAGAATTCGACTCCACCCTTACTCCAACAGTTAATCTGGAGAGGACAAAATATCTGCCGGCTATCAGCCTCGTGGGTGCACTGGTCTGCCCACTATCCTTCAGTTGACTCTGCCACAAGCTCCCAAATATGCTAAGGGCTTCTGCAGAGCCGAAGCCATACCACGGTCTTTGGTAGAAACGTGTGCTATCAGGAGAAGGAACCACTTCGCATGGCGTTGCTTGCAAAGACCTGGAGGGTGCTTGCTGCGTTTCGCACCACTTTGTGGGGCTTGAAAAGTCTCGCAGGTGCACTGTCCCAGCAGTGTTATGAAAGCAGGGACGCCATTTATCCAGAAGGGTGGCAGGAGAGCACAGCGTCAGGAGGGTAGTGGCAGCAGCGGCGGTGACGTAGAGCAAACTCTGGGGCCCTAGCTCAGCTTGCCCATTTCATATTTCTTGAAGATTTCCGAAGCCGTGAAGACAAGAGAGTCGACGATGCCAGCGACGGTAAAGGTTCCGCCCACAATGGCACATACCTGCAGCACAAAGGGCATTGGTGACGTCGCCAAGACCCGCTTGGCGTCAAGCTGTAACAATTAGTCATGCATTCCGCACGCAGTTCACGCAAGTCCCCATCTAACTTCTCAGGATTAAGGCGCTAATAAAAGTGCGCTGACCCAGACATTTGTAAAACAATTGCTGCTCCAAAAACTGCTCCGGCATTTCGGAGACCTTGAAGCCATTTTTTATGGTCACAGGAAAACATCACACAGCATCTGGTATGAGGCACACTCAATAAGTTACCAACCTGACTATGAAAAAAAGGTGCTACAATCAGTCACTTCTGTATTGAACATAACCCTTTCATTTTGATTATGGAACTTAGAGGAACACTAATCTCCCCTAAAAACATATTTTTTAAGTGTCTAGATAGAACAGGTATATCACAAAATAGCACCCCTCCCCTCCAAAATAAATAAATTTAGTGGAACATTTATACCGCGAAACACATGCTGCAAAACCGAAAATAACTTCTATTTTAGGGGCGACGTCTCGAAATAGGAGTTAGGTTTGGTTTTGCTCCCCATTCAAAATGTATCGCACGGCACAAATATTGTAGTAAGAGTTCTTTTCTTCAGTGCCTGGATAGAAACACATTTTGAGTTACGAGTAAAGCCGAATCGAACTTCTATTTCAAGATGTCATATTCTAAATAGAAGAAAGCCTCATCTTCGTAATATGTGTCTCACAGTGTAAATACTGCAGTAACTCTTTTTTTTTTTTCTTGGGGGGGGGGGGGGGGGATTCATTTTGTAATATACATGTCTTATCCATGCATAAAAAAAAAAAGAAGAACACGTGGAAGTACATGATCGTTTTCAGGTGCGCTAAAGAGATCTGTGATTATAAGTAGCTTTGCAGGGAGCCAACCTCATCCACTGCCAAGCCAACATAAGGATCAAGTGCCTACGTGTAGGGGTGTCGCAAACCGGCCGAGGTTCAAATTCAATCAGGTTCGACTTTTTCGAACTGTTAGTGGAAATTTCGACGAACCTTGTATTGAGGTTCGACTCGTGTGCGCATGCGCGACAGGCTGGCCAGTTGGCTTTGGATTGGATGGTGATGGCTAAGGGATGAATTAAGGGCAGCACTGATTGGTTAGGTCAGTTAATACAGAACAAAAAAATTAAGTTATTAACTTCTTCACTGACTAGAATTGGTTTCTTTTAATTGCAACTGTTCATTAAATAAAATAACCCTTTGCATAAAAAAAACATTCTCCAAACCTAGACATGCTTGTATCAAGGTCTGGCCATATTGTCCACAAAGTCGAACCGGTCGAATCTGGTGAAAAGTTAGAAGGTTTGTCGAACCGGTTCGACCCAGTCGAACCCCGAAAGTTCGACCTAAAAATCCGGTTCGACAAAAGTTCGCGACACCCTTACCTACGAGAAAGAGCAAAACTATAGGTTGCTTCAATGTGCATCGCAACAATAATTCCTTTCACCGCAGTCTTTCCCACTCTTCCTCTGCACTCGGTAATTATCTTCAATTGCAACTTTTATATGAAAGTGGGGCACGCATTTTATTAATTTGCAGACTTTTGTTTTCTTTTAATTTGCAAAGCATGTAAATGAAGCAAGGCACCCTAAAAAGAGAAAATAACAAAAGTGTCTTAAGATGCAACCCCACCCTTCGTTAGTGTGATTCTGAACCAAGAGATGGTGGTGGGATCGCCTTCAGACCTGTACATCAATGAGAGAAATCGTGGGTGGTGGCGCTTCGATACAGTGGGGCATTTTTCTATATCTTGAATTTGACATCCCTGGTCCTTCGCTTGGTCCTTCGCTTGTTTTTCTCTGAACGAGCTTTCTTTGGAACGCGCACGGCTGCGCCAGTTCTCGTGCAAGGAGGCCAGTTGCCTACGCTCCCAGCTCACGTCCCAATTAAATGCGGTCAGAACAAAATGCGAAAATCATTCTTATCCAAATGGCGAAACACATGCGCAACAAAACAATCGATGCGTTGAAAAATATAAAATTGCTTGTGCGCCGTTAGCATTCCACGGTAATTTTGAAGGCCAATTACATATCAATGTGATCAGATTTATATGACGGGCCGGGGCTATTGTCCTGAGTGCGTTTGGCTCTTTGCGGAGTTCCAGGAAAAAGTGATGACGTGATAAACTTGGGTTTCCAAACTTCTAGCTCAAGGAGTTAAATACATAAAAAATCAAAGAAAATGAACTATTTTTTCGGCGGTCAGGTGTCTCATTTAGGTAGCTGGGTATTCATTTTGAACAAAACCACGGGACTGGAGAACACAAAAGTGACACTCAGTTTTAGATATTGAGTTTGGTAAACCCACCTTAGGACTGGTGCGGGAGTCATAATAAAAAAAAAAAGCCAAAATTAAAAATTAACCAGCAGCAATAATTGATAAGAGTTAATTTTAATACGAGTTCAATGATAATCGCAATGAGACTGCCCAGGCAAACATTCTGCGTCTGTGGATAGCTTTTGCACAGAGTTTAAGCAATATACCAGCCTTAATTTGGTGATTTATGCGCGCAAATAGTGGTGTGCAAAAATGAAATAGACGCAACGGGTATAGTTTGACGCTGTATAAAATATAGTGTAAGCACGCACGTGGTACGCTGATTAAGACTGAAAAAGCGCTACATTTTACACTAGCGTTGAGCATATCGCAAGTTAAGAGCGCATCTAAAGCTAAAGCTTGTACAGATATAATGCTCAGGCCGTAATCTTTGAAGTACATACCAACTCGCCCAAGCCTCAACTTTAGCATACTTTATGACCCTCAGATTTGGTGTAAGTTGTCTCCTGAATGCTTGCAACAGAAAGGGGGAAACATTCTAACTCTGGGTTGATAGAAAAACTCCACCTACTGACAGCTACCAATAATCTCGGCGCCGATTGTGAGTATTCACTGAATGCCAACGGTCGAGTGCCTAGAACAAGTTTTTCCTCAGGTGATTTCATCCAATCGCAATTGTTCTTGACAAACAACACTGTTTATTTACGCAAACGGCCACATGTGAAGTTTAACCTATTTTGTATTGATTGTGGCACACGTGACAAGTAACGAAGGTTTTTTTTTTTTTTTTTTTTACAATCTGCGATGTAGAAGCACACAAAAAAGCACGAAATTAATCGCAGTGGGAAACAAAAACAATAAGAATAAACAACTGTGTAATCACATAAAAACTGAGGGAAGTGGACATATGCAGAATGTAGCTTTGTTTCACTAAATACATTACCAGTAAAGTATTTGGTTTTATCGTGCAAGCGAAGTGGAACATAAAAGAGCGAACATGCTGGCGTGAACTATTCTGCCACTAAAGAAGCGCACCATCCAAAGCATCGAGCTCGCTTTTATAGCTTTTTGTGCGCTCAGATCTTTTGAAAACCCAATTATAATCAATTCTATTATTTCAATTAATTTTATTAAGCGCGCCTATGTGTCTTTTTGTTTTTTGTATTTTGCCTTCAAGTGGCATTTTCTTAGTTATATATTATTTTTCTATAGAAGTCCGACAACTATAGTCTGTTTCATCATAAGAGCCGCATAATCAAAGATGTAGACAAAAAAAGAAAAAGAAAAAGAACGCAAACAGGCAAACACACATTAAAATGAAATGTAACGCCGGATTCAAAATTAGTCGTTAGTTTTTTAGAGAGCTGCAGTTTCGTAGGGCGACACTGTTACCCGTTGAATGTTATAAAAAATGCAGTACAACTGTTAGCTCAGGGTCTTTAACGTGCATTACGCAGTATATGTGGTACTCGATTGCACGACGGTAGGATGCAGATGGGCGACTGAACCCAGGGTCTCTGCTAAAGCCCCTTGATAAAGGCGTTTTTTACAAGTACCGCCAACCATTGTTGTGGAAACGCGCAAGACACGTGCCACGAGCAAGTGCTCCGTCGCCATTCGCTTTCAAGGGCCAGTCATTTTAGTGCTGCGCCGCCATTAGCCTCTAAGGGCCGTTCGACACACGGGCCTCGTACATTGGTACAACCGACGTTACTTGAAAGACCAACGCAAACACATCGAGAAGATTTAGTCCCCAGGTTCTGCAGCGTGAGCCCCGTGCTTTGAACGGAGCTCGCGCTCGAGCATTTATCCACGTGCTCTGATCTGTGGTGCCACAACACACCCACCGCACTTGGTTTAGCCTGCGAGCTAAATCAAATGACAAACGCAACTGCCAATCGTCATGATTAAAAAGTGTGACTTTCTCAGCATTAGTTTCGGTGTTAGGAAGCTCACGTAATATTGCTTTGCTTTGTCGCGAACTGTTTAAACATTTGTGGAGGACGGAAAAGTGTTTCCTGTGATTTCAGATAAAGCTTCAGATAACTGACAACCATCATTTTAAGCACCAAGATGTGTATGAAGCGTAGCTTATTCAGTGGCTCTAGTTTAGCCCGACCTCATAGGCACAGAAAGAGGACGAACAGCTTGACCTCGGGCTCTTGGCGCTGCTTCAGTGGCTTCATCAGCCAGTACCGTTGGCTGCATCCCGAACTAAGGTAAAGCAAAGCAAATATTCAGACCTTAAGGTTTCACAAGCCAATCAAACAAAAATCACTTAACACGCCCCAATAAAAAAAAAATGCGGATTTATTTTGACTAACTGGAAATCTTTTGACGAGCAAGCGAAATCTCAGATTCGCCTCCGTCGGATTGCGGGAACCTCGGCCGATATTTAAACCCGGCAAATATGGATTCATGGGCCAGCGCGTTGGCTCAGAGACACTGAGACGATTTAATGTTTTGTTTTAATATCATTTCCACTAGCTTATTTAGTGGCACTAATTGTCACTTAAGAGCCACCGAGGTGGTTTATGAAACAAACTATAGCCACACCATTCCGACCAGCATGGTTTGATTGCGAAAATGATTTTTGCAAGTGATAAAAACATTAAAATGTTTTCGCACACGTGGCGGAATCTGAAATGACGGAATGCATTTTATGGCGCCCATTTCATTTGAATCGCGTCGGGCATGT